TATTTTGAAATGTCGTGTGACGTCACAGCGTGCAACAAAATGTAGCACGTTATGATGTAACTACCTTACACTCCTATACTTAACTCCATTTTATTTAAGTATTGTAACGTTATACGAGAAAATAAAAAAATACATGTGTAATATTAATCATTATCTAATTGACGGACTAATTCGATTTTTAATGTTCTTACCCTGGAAACTACCCAATTGTGTATTCTTATAGATAAACTCAAGTTAAAAGTTAAACCTACTATAAGGTCTGGTTGCTGTTGTACTTTCAACTAAAATTAATTCGAGAGCATTTTAGACGTAGGCACTGATATAGCGACTTAAAAATATCTTTTTTCTTACTGACAGCATGTCTGTTAGTTTACTGAACTAAGAAAGAACAAGTATTAGCACTCTTACAACGCTCCAGCGTCGCGGAAGTACATAGGTACAGATTAGTCCCGCTACGCCCCTGCACACCTGCTCGGTACCGTTATGTTGTAGCTTGATGAACAACGGAAAGTAATTAGAGGACGAGATATTGAGAGAATTACTTACTTAGATTCGCGACAACTTTGTTAAAATGTAAGCAGTTTAAGTGAAACTGCGACCATAGACACACTGTTTATTATTCACTAGCTTTTACCCGCGGCTTCGCTCGCGTCACAAAAGGATAAAAAGTAGCCTGTGACATATACTAATACACACAGCGCCATCTATACCAATAATTTCGTTTTCCCTCGAGAATATCATTTTTTTCCGGGATAAGAAGTACCCTATTATTTAATCCAGACTTCTAACTTTACGTCTGCAAAAATTCAAAGCAATCGGTTTAGTAGTTACAGCGTGAAAGTGGAACAAACAAACAAACAAACTCACTTTCCGATTTATAATATAAGTAAGGATTCTTCTTGATGACATACGTTGTCACAAAAATAAACACTGCTTCGTTAATGGAGTGAGTTTAAATGCGGCTGGTGAGCAAGGGATCTTCAATTCAATTAATTAATTAACAGATGGGCAAAATGTCACGATTTTCGATTTATTTTAACCGACTTCAAAATAAAAAAGGAGAATTTTAGGTTGACCTGTATGTATCTAAGTTCGTGCACCTTTATCTCGCGATGGGCTAAACCGATTTTGATGCAGTTTTCAGAAAAGTGTTTGTTACACTTAGGCGAACATTTTTGTTCGATACATTAGTCACAATCGAACGCTGATCTAACAACCCATATATTATTATATTAATTAAACGACTTCAAAAAAAAGGAGGTCGAAGTCGGTTCTTTAAACGTGGTTTATAAAAGCATTATTTCAGGAATAACACGGAGTCTGTAATTACCTATGTCTGGTTATGGGAAATAGGCTCACCCCCGTTATATAAAACTCATAACTATACAGTGCCTTTAGCCAAACGCCACTTTAGCGCTTGTCTACAGAGAGAGTAGCAAACTAAATGTATGGGGATGACACTGACAAGTGTCAAAAGGGCCATGTCCATATTTGCCCCAGAAACGATAAAAAAAAATATATAACAAGATAGCTCTAATAACGTCAATTCCGTATAATTTGGTTTTCTATTCTACATGTAGACAAGCGCTAAATAGCATTTGGCTACAGCTGCAGGAAATGATCTGCTATAAAGTTATTAACTAATAACATAGCCCTTTTAAAATTCCAATACAAATTTTAAGTAAGCATCCCTATCTATGCTTATTATTGATACGTCTACATCCAAATAAAAGATGGTGGTCCATTCACCAAAATTGTTCATCTATAGGTGATGAAATATGAACATTTTACACTAACATTGCACTTACTACAATATTAAGGGATCACAATACAGCAGCCCTTTATTTTTTTCTCAATCTCCACTCCCCTTTTTTCATCTCAGACGCGTGCGCACTTTGCATCCCTATAGTGCGAGATTTGGGGAGCTTTGTTTGTCCCTGGTCCATGGGTGGTAAAAAAAATCAACCTGTTTGATTTATTTGTTCGTATGTAGATATTCTGTTGAGAGAATGAAATACAATAATTGAGTATCATATTTAAGTTTTGATTTTTTAATTCATTGAGATAAGTTTTTAATACATAATTATTTTCATTCCTTAGGTCAAATATCTGTGTAATTATAGTAATCAAATGCATAGGTCTAGGTCATACTATCTATATTTTAGGATCTCTAGGGATTTTTAAGGCATTCATTTAACACAGTCTTTTAATTGGCGTTACGTAGCTCTGCATACCGCCTTGGGAGACTGGCGTTATGCATGTACGTACTTCATTTAATCATGTAACACATTAGAAAATATATTGTGCTAGGGTCTTGACTCCACAATAAACAACTTCTAACACAGCTATAAACAAAATCCCAAAACCATCATAATTACAATCTTGATTATAACAAAGTATAAAAACAATAAAGTCATCACCCGCATCGTACTTACGACAAACCAACGCGAAACGATCAAGATTATCTTTAAACCTGTCAGTTTAACAACATGGGAACTTAATGACCCTTTTGCATAAGTTATTGTGAATCACCCAAACCCCTTATGGCCATAAACGTTAAAGTTTTTAAAGGGGTTTCCTATCTTTACAAAGAGAGGTGAATGTACTCGACGTCAGCCACATGTGACTGGATAGTTGTCGGTTTGATACCCAGATGGACAGATAGACAAGAATCAGTCGTAATATCATGCTGTTGTTGGGATGTTTTTATGGGATAAGCCAGTAAACGAGCGGACAGATCACCTGATGGTAAGCAATCGTCGTTGCCCATGGACACGTGAAACACCAGAGGCATTATAAGTAAGTTGCCGCTTCAAGGGATTTAGTAATTTGAGCATTATTGGGGATTCGGTGATTGAGGAGACTTGGGAGGCCTTACAAATCTACGCCTAATGGGCCTCCGATAACCTCACTCACACGACGAAACACATCACAAGTGTTGTTTCACGTCGGTTTTCTGTGAGGCCGTGGTATCGCTCCTGTCGAGGCGAGCTCTCTCAAACAAAATAACTTAAACAATATTTTATTTAAGTAACTGTTATTTCCTTTCTAACTGTTATTCTGTATCACTTTTATTTGCTTTTTATATCTTGTTAGAATGCTTAATTAATATGTATTACTTAACAAAGAATTTCTTGTTAATCATTATATTTATTACAAACATGTAATTATGAATATCTCTTGTAGGAAGTGAGTAACTAGTGCAGGAATTAGATACAAACTTAGATCAGGCTGACTCTAGACGGATTTCAAAAGTAAAAGTGTTAATGCGAACCTGTTCATAAATTGTATGTAGGTCTTAGTATATTTTCTATGCACTGTTTTATATTATGCGGACGTAAATGAGTACTTCTTATGTAAAGAAACCCCATAGTCTAATATTATATTAGACTCACTTGTAAGTGCTGGGCTTCACCCCAGTTGTACAGTTTTTTTTGTGCCTTTAGGCTTAATTCATTCTGTCTCCTGCAGTAATTCACTGCGGGAAATGGGAACTATAGTTTTTTTTTCTTTTCTCTTATAATATCTTCCGATTCACTTCGTTGCGGGAACCAAGACAGTTTTCGTGTCCCAGTGTCGCACCGGACTTCGGGGTTCCGGTGTTTTCATGGTTCCGTCTACTGTATACCATGGCTTAAGAAGTTGCAGCGGTTTTAGGAGGTTGTGGCGGCTTGTCACAATTGAAAAAAATTGTCCGCTCTAATTAATTTGGGATTTTTTGCACTGAAAAGCTTTGGATGTTTGTCCAGACGCTATGATGTCGATGCATTAAATAATAATGAAATTGAACATTTGCAAAAGTAGATAGGTAGGTTATTTCATTTAACATTAATAATTGTATTTTTTAATCATTCGTGGTGAGATATTCCATTTTATTGAAAAATAATAAAAATATATTTTCGAGATTCTTGGAAACCGCTGACTGACCTAATTTTAGAATTTCGGTGAACACGGACGTGATAATATTTCAAATAGAAAAACATCTCTAAACGCCCAAATAATTTCATTTTTCTACCGTTAATTCGAGAGTAACCACAAAAACCGAGTCAAAAAGACTGACTTTTGCTACAAACATTTCTTAGTACGTTTGAGACAGACTTAGCAGATTGTTGTTCCGAGTCTAAGTATATGTAATTAATGCGAATGTTTGTAAATGCAATCACAACTAATTTATATAAAAACTAGGGGACCCGACAGACGTCCTGCATATCCACTTGAATGTATAAACAAAAATTCATTCAAAGTAGTTCAGCCGGTTAGGATGACTAACCTAGACAACGACTGCAGCGCTATCTGCCGGGCTGATTTGTGAATATAAACCATTCCCAGTTCTCCTTGAACACACACAACAAAATCGGTCCAGTCGTTTCAGAGAACTTCAGTGACATACACACTCACAGAAGAATTATATATATAAAGATAACTAGAACCACATTTAAAAAAAGTTATCATTGATCTAGGAAATGATATCTACATTATTCCATAAAGTAAACAAATTAAGTATGCGATGATATTAAAAGATAAACAAGGTTTTCCTTTGCGTTATTAACAAGAAAGCTAACTTCCTTTTCCTGACTGGCTTTCAACTCGTTAGGATTTTACTTTCCAACTATAAAGACGTTAATTTGCTCATTTGCATTCAACGTTGCTGTAAAACTTGTTGACATTTTTATGAATGTATTTTCCTGTGTGTAAATCAACGCTGCTTGAAGAAAATTCCTTAAACTGAACTGATTTATGAGACAATTTGGAGGCCATCGATTTAGTTCCGAAATATGAAACTTGACACTAATAACGCAGTAGGTATCAAAAGCTCATGATCAAAGCGAGTACACATTCAATAGTCGAAAGAAAGAATCACGATTTGAGGACGTGACGCTGCCACACAAAAGCGTTAGAAAAAATGACAACACAAAAGTAACAGTAGCAAAACTTTTAATTATAAAAATAAATTACTATAACAAAACTACATTACTAAACTAATCTCCTAAAACAACTTTCTAATTGTAATTATTATGCGGTGCTATTGGCTGCAACACGTAAGCTTGCCCCGTGGCTCTGTCTACTACGTGACCAGTCGAAGGTTCTAAGAAAAGTCTTGGGACGGTGGATGCTGCAGTTACGTCTGGTTGATGATGTTGTCTTACTCCTGCTCCACCTTCGTAAGGAACGAAGTGAGGTGGTTCTAGATGTTGTTTAGGTACTTGTGGAGCTTGGGGCAAGTACTGAGCAACTGCTGAGGCTGTGGTAAGTACTGTGTCAAATCTGGCTGCTGTTGATTCAAGTACGATGAATGATCTGGTTGAGTTGTGGGTGCAAACTGATTCTGCTGTTGATCTTCATCGTCTTATGACTTACTACTAATACTATTTGATTCTTTTCTTTTTGCTTATTATCATCTTCTTTCTTCCTATACTGTTGTCTCTTTGGTTTTGGTTTCTCATAAGTTTTTTCCTCTTCTTCTTCATCTTCAAATTCTTCTTCATGAGAAGTTTCAGCTGCTTCTTGCTCTCTATTATTATTGTTGCGTTCTCTGTTGTTTTGTTTTTTGGGTGCTGTTCTTCTGTAGATTCTGATTGATATGATTTTGGATGTTTCCTTTCTGATTTACGTGCTCTATCTACTTTTGGGTGGGCTCGTTTTGCTCGTCCAGTTTCTTCGTAGCTTGACCTTTCTGGGTCATATTCTTCTTCACCGTAGGTTGGTGCGTTATTACTTGGTTCATCGTAGGGATCATCATTGTGAGAGTCTCTGTAGGATCCGTCATCACCATCGTCTCCAATGTTGTCAGCATTACCTGCATGGTTCAGATCCCAGTAATGTTCACCATATCCTCCCTTTTTATCACCCCAACGAACCTATATTAGAAAGATGTGTCAGTTGTTGTTCTTATCATATGTGTATAGTAAATTCAACAGTTTAAATAACTAATAATTGTTAATACGTTTAAGTATAAATTAAGTTTGTAATATTAGAAATAGATGTGAGTTAAAATAAAAGAAAGTTAAGACAGTCGTCGCAAGAATATGATAGAAGATGAAATACACGACAAGTCTATACAAAGTTAGTGTTGAAATTGTTGAAGTTTGATTAATTAGTCAGTTAAGTAGAAAATGAATAGCGTTATTCAAAGAAATAATGAACATAAGTTCATATTAATAATAACTTGATATGGAAGCACAAATAATATATAGAATATAGCAGAACTTTCTTTTGGGCATCCCTTGTTGAACCAATGTCAGAAGAAAATTGTTAAATTATTGAATCAAAGAAAATTCTGCTATTAGTTATTAATAATATGAAGCACAGTAAGCATACTTTGGCAGAGAACAGTCCTTCAGAGGGCTTGGCCCTCTCATGTCTCTCAGTGAAGTGTCGTTCGCTGCCCAACCGATGTCCCTGATCAAACTCGTCAGCCTTCGGTAAGTGTCTATACCTTCAGCCAAGCGAAGCAAAGCGGAAAAGAGAAAGAAATAGAAGAAGGTTAGAGACAGAGCGAGATAATAGATGTGTTTTACTTTTCCCATGTCCCTGTGGTTCTTAAAGTCTTTCTTCTCGTAACGTTGCTCCCACGTGTTAGGATCCTCGCAGACGTGACCGAACTCTATCTTGTATGGACTCAACTGTACTGAGAAAAAATCCCTATAAAGCAAAGTATTTACCATCCTTACTAATAACATTGAAGATAATTAAGATTTTCTCAACACTTGTCAAAGGAAAATGAACTTTGAAGACATTGAAGATGTCATTAAAGTTGAAGTAATGAACGTTTGTTTTAAGTATCGAGTAGTTGAGAATAACAAGAACGAGAATGGAATGACAAAGTAAAATTGGCGACCGAAACCCCTTTCTCTAATTGCTATAGCGTAAAGTATGTCAATGTTTGGTTATTTTGAAACGTATTTGCATGCTGGCGACAATAGAATCCAATTAGCTTGAAGGTTGGTAGTGAAGTTGAAATTCATAACGAGGCGGTTTCATGAAAACTAGTCATTAAGTAATTAGACCTAAATTTACAAGTGTTTAAAAAACATGAGACTAAATTTGGAACATTTAACAGAATGAAACTACAATAAACATTATGCTAAGAGGATTGAGCAAAATTACGAAGAAGTTGAGATGATAAGGTTTCTTATACTTACTGGAAGAATTTAGCTTGAGCTTCGATAGTGGAAGGATTGCTAGGTGGTGTTCTAACTGTAACTGGTCGAGCTGTTCCCCACACAGATCCTACGTGAAGAGCTAGAAGGCACCAGAGCCATATCTGAAAAATAAAGTTTATTCCTATTAGTAAGAGTCCAGGGAATTGTCACAAAAACAGGTGATGATCTAAAATAAATGAATGTTGCTGAAAAGATGTTAATTTTGCCAAAGAGTGAAACACCACACACACACTTTCGAAGTAGTACGTAAACTGACACAATTTAGAGTATTAAGAGCTCGATTATTCACAAAGTGAGTCTCACTAGAAAAATATTAAACATATAAAAACAATAAACAAAATCAACATTTCTAATCAAACAAACTTATGTCCAAATACTCGAACGTCACTCAATTTTAAGTCGCTCTTAAGTAGGTATATGTAGTTCTGTCACTACAAACTCTTTGTAAACGACAGAGATGGCACGATATTCAAGTACAACAATTGAGTAGCCTTTCTGTATTCGGGCGATAGACACTAAGTTTTTAAACAAACAAACAAACAACAAATACAAAACCACTATCACTTATACACTTTCTCTAAATAAAACCGATATTTGATTGAATTTATTATTACTAAACTTTTCTAAATAATAAATAATAATTGTTATTATTGAATTTAATGTAAATAATACCTTATTGTCAAGACGTTGTGACATCTCGGCGGTTTGATTGAAGGTCTGTGCCCAACACCGGCGGTAGTATCATTTATAGACAAAACTGTTACAATTCACTGTTTCCAGTTATCACCAACCATTTGTATTTTTGCTTGTTTTGATATTAACATAACACGTAATGCGTTTATTTCTCAAAGAGGTAGTAAGAACGGCTTATTTTAAATGTAATTCTCAATTTTTTCCGGTTAAGTTCCTACGTGATAAAAGAAGTCTATTGCCGCTTTGTGCATTCCAGTCTCCAGACACCATTTTAGTCTCAGGAACGATACTTCTACGTTAGACCTTATATTATGTACTTACATTCAATGCAAATAAATGATTCTATTCTAATCTACTTTATTCAGTGGTATTCAGTGGTAACTAAGGAATTTTCGAAAAACTGAAAATCGGTAATACTTTACCTGATTAAAGAATAGTAACAAATTCCCTTGCTCAGCATTCGCTCTTAATCGAAACCAATAGAGAATAATGGACCAACGAGACATAATAAATAAGTGAAACAGTCCGATTTATAAACTTTAAAAACTTGATATCGACTAATTAGTTAAATAGAAGCTATTAGGTATGCGAATTAATATAGAAATTTTATCTAATTTATAGTCGAATTTCCTTTACAGAAATGCGTCTCAAATGTTGTTCATCTCTGGCAATCTCAGATGCGCCCATTACGAATCGCGCCGCGTCATTGACTTTCCGCTGCCCGGCTTTCCGTAGCAAATAATTGTGGAAATCATTCTGTTATACACTATTATTAAAGATTAAAATAAACAAAAAGGTTAATCTGTAATTACTCAAGATCTGATAAATAAAATACTGGACTGTTGTAATATTTTTTTATTGATTTCATTTTTTTTATTGTTTTTTTTTTTACACGAATCTCTTAATTGTGTAAAAAAATCCTATAATTTATTATAGTTTGTTTTAATCATCATCAACAGCTTATAAATGCCCACTGCTGAGCAAAACCTCTTCTCACATGGAGAAGATTAGAGCATTAATCACCCCGCTTGTTCAATGCGAGTTGGCGATTTCAAACTTATAATTAGAAATTATAAGCCCAGGTTTTTATCACGATGCTTTCCTTCACCGTTTGTCAGTGGTGTCTTAATAATCTTTGTCTTAATATAATCTTTGTTTTAATATTTGTACCTATTACCTACCTGATAAACACTTGATTAATTACTTATATTCTTCGGACAACAAAAATCTGGACGTTAAGCACTATTCCAAACTTTCCTGTGTAACAATTCATTAACTTGAATGAAAAGTTAAAAAAAGAACATTTCAAAAAGGTGACAATTCAGTAGAAAACACAACAATACATCGATGACCTTGAAAAAGAAAACCATTAAAAATGATGCAAGAATTTACAGTGAAATAAATCATTAAAACAATGATTGTGTAATACAAATGTTTCAGCTATTGAATAACAGTTTATTGGCATTTGAGAAAAAACTGTTAAAATCACTATTATAAGGCTGCACGCAATTAGAAAGAAATGGAGCGGACGATCCTAAAATGGTCTGTTGTTTCCAATAGGAAATGTTATTTAATAGGTTTTTGTTCATTATTGTTTTGTTCTAACTAGAAAAACTGTTTGGTATTGTCCATTACTTTGTATTATAATTATTTATTACTTACTGGAGTTTTAATCCTGAACTTATTCAATGTTTTCCTCCAATATAGTAAATATACGCATAATGTATGTCTAACATTTTAATCCTTTATGATGGTAGACAAAACTAATCTAACTAAGATTAAGTGTGGGAGAGCCATGCTTCGGCACGAATGGGCCGGCTCGACCGGAGTGATACCACGGCCTCAAAGAAAACCGACGTGAAGCAACGCTTGCGTTGTGTTTCGTCGTGTGAGTGAGATTACCGGAGGCCCAATTACCCTCCCCTTCCCTAATCTCCCCAATCCCCAACGATCCTCAAAAGGCCGGTAACGCACTTGTAACGCCTCTGGTGTTCCAGGTGTCCATGGGCGACGCCGATTGCTTACCATCAGGTGATCCGTCTACTCGTTTAGCGGCTTATGCAATAAAAAAAAAAATCTGAAAATATTGGAATTTGACTATATGTCTAACAAATATCAAGTTTTATCTGATTCATCAAGAATTACGGAATTCTTCTCACCTTGAAACCAAAACCGTAGACAAGAGACATAGATCTCAAGAATTGACAAAAAGTGAGTTTTTGACTTATCATAATTAAGAATTATGTTGAAAACCTGAAATTTCTCGTAATAAATAAGTCTTTTCAACTTCTCAATAAGACTTCCACCTCATTTCCGATAACCTCGTTCATTTCTAGTTTATAACTCTAACCGTTAGTAGCGCGTTCACTATAAAAATAAATACTTAAAACAATGTAATATCTGAATCAAGTACCGTGTAATGACTTAGTTGAACATTACGCAAGTCGACGTAATTATTTTTTCAGGTTAGTGACACAATTGGGGGTAAAAAATATTTGGCAAATAGACCATTATAATGAGAATTTAGTGATGGGGTTTTCTGTGAATCGAAAGCATGACTTCTCCTAAGTCTTTCGATAATCCTGTAGTTGCCAATTTTTTTTTTAACTTATTGAGTATTTAGATGCATTCCTACTTCATGTTGGTAGCCGCGGAGAACCTAACGGGTTACCGCGCTCCGGCTCGAAGTACAGGAGTAGGAACGGGGTGGTTTTTAGTCAGTAAGAGTCTGACACTCCCTCCTGCCTCACGCAGGCGGGAGATCTCATTCGATGATTTTTCCCCCCTTAAAAAAAAAACAACATGTTGGTAGAATTTTAAAATCCTATTAACTTGGTACTAGGTCCTAGGTACCTGTACCTAAGACAATATGGAGTGTACCCGTATTACCCACTCATGTATCCTTCTCTGTTTGTTATTGGCATGGTGGGATACTATAAGCTGGAGGTCAGGCGAGAGGTTGCACTCGCAAAGTACGTGTTTGAGGTTTTCCGAGGTAAACAGAACAATCCATCCATACTGGCTTCGTTGAGGTTGCTCGTCCCAAATACAAAGCTAAGGCTGAGCCCGAGGCAGAGACTATTTGAGGTTCCCACCAGTCGCACTAACATAGGTCGATATGCTCCTGTGGCTAGAGCTATTAAAATAATTAATGGAGTTGGACAAAAGGTTGATATTTTCTGTTGCTCATTGGCGGAGTTCATAAAGGTAACGACTGATGTTGTTAGTTGTACATATGTAGAGGTAGTTATTGAATTAAATAAATAAATAAATAAATAAAAAATAAATAAAACTTTTTTCATTTTCAGTTTTGCATTTATTTTTTTGTATTTGTGTACGTGCTACTGTTAAATAAATGCTTTTTTTCTTCTTTTATTTCTTTCTTTCATTCATCACCTCATTTCATAATTCTACTACAAATACCTGTGCTACGTTAAAATAATATACGTATGTGGATTGTGTGAACTTGTGTACAAAATCTTTCTTTGTTCTTAATTATTTAAGACTGCATTCATTAATTTACGTCCAGTTTCAATAACCTATCTATCTGTAGATTTGCTTACTAGATATAGAATTTCGACACTTTTTATATGGAGCTCATATCAAAATTCTACCTGGATTAAAACTGGACGTTATTGGACGAAGAGACAGTCAGTTGAAATTATGAGAAAAAATATGAAAAAAAAACACGTGACACATCAATGACGTCACTATACATTATCACCTCGATTGTCAACTTTGTGAGATTTTTGATGCAATTTTTGACAATGATTGTCGCAACTGTGTGTTGTAGTGGGTATAATGATGTTGTTCATTAGTTCGGTTGCGAATTAGAGCCGTGTGAAGCTACATTATAAAGTGATAGAGCATTGTTTGTCTTGTTTCGACATGTTATTGATATTACTTGTCTTGTTGCACCATGTCAGTAAAACTTAATGGGATTTTGAGTAAAAGGATTTTTGTTACAATGACTTGCAATTTTTTTATGAGGTCTGGTTGTGTTTAACTCGAAGAAGTTCTTGAACTTTTTGCTTTGGAATATGGAAATGAGTCTATTACGATGCGTTGTCTACATTTTGCATACTCCATGTTTCATATAAGATTGAGAAGAAAAGTGTTCGCTGGTTAATTGTGTTTAGACATATTGGACCAATGATTAATTATCGTCATCATCATTATCATATCAGCTACAAGATGACCGTCCACTGTTGAACATGGACTCTTTGTTTCCTGACTTCCAAACTGATCGGGTTTACTGATCAATCACCAAACGGTAGCTGCTCTTCATTAACTCCATTATAGACCTTATTACCGATGTTTAGATACTACTTTTGTATGAAGAAATTTTGGGGATTTATATCAGATGATTGTGTACGAGTTTAGTAGATATTTAGTAGGTCGGCGATCCAGTTTAAGGCAGTTGATTGCGTTGTGTTTCTATAAGGCCGGTTATGCACTTGTAACGCCTTGGTGTTCCAGGTGTCCATGGGCGACGCCGATTGCTTACCATCAGGTGATCCGTCTGCTCGTGTACCTACCGGCTTATGACATAAAAAAAAGTTAAATTAACTGCCTCGTTGGCCGAGTGGTCGCAATTGCGACTGCCGAGCAAGGGGTCTCGGGTTCGATTCCCGGGTCGGGCAAAGTATTACTGGGTTTTTAAAAAATTCTCAGTAGTAGCACGGAGTCTGGAACTGTGCCCGATATATGGCAATAGGCTCACCCCCTATTACATGGGACTCATAACATAAATAGTGAAAAGTGGGTGTTACATTGTACAGTGGTATAATGTGCACCTCTGCCTACCCCTTTGAGGATAAAAGGCGTGATGTTATGCTTTCCAATTTAGTTTATATAAGTAGTTAATCGGATAATACGTTTTGTTTGATAAATAAATTATTTCCTACAATTATGTTTCTTTCTTAGATTATTTTTCTATGATGCTTTGAATGTGGAACAGCCATGCTTCTGCACGAATGTGCCGGCTCGACCCGAGTGATACG